ATTTACTATTCACAAAAGGATACCCACTGAAATTATATAAGTTTATATGAACTTAATCGTATTATTATTATTTATTTTTAATTTATGCATAATTAACTTGCCATTACCTATTGATTTACCAGAGGGAGACTTTGTACAAAAGTCGACTGCTTGGGTACCTCTGTCCCATTAGTGTTTCAACCGTGAAGCAGTTGTGTTTGCATGGCTGTGTTTCGGTTTGAAGGGTGGGATATGGCGTAAATTTACTGGGTACAGAGAAACAATACCTGAGTCCTCAGGAGTGGCAACGCATGGGGGGTATCATGGGCGAAACAGTATACTCTGTTATGTCCATGGTACTGCTCTGTTACCATTTTCCATCAGGTGGGCCGTCAGCTTGTTTGCCATTCTAAGTTGTATATAAATTTTGAAGTAAGTCATTACTTAGTCTAAAAACTGTCATTTACGTAAGTAATTTTAGCCATTACGTAATGCAGTAGACAAATAATTGTGACTCTGTTTAAAAATAACGAAACTGTTTTAACCTACCTATACGAAACTTTTGTTTACAAACTTATCAACGCTCGAGAGAAATTTCCAAATTCTACCACATGCCGTTTTACGATTTGGTAATGTCATATAATTTACCACGGTTTTCCACGGATGAAACGTCTAGCTGAGTGATTTCAGCTATAAATATCGCTTGATTGCGTTATGGTTTTTGACCCATGGTGTTTATCGTTGTGCCGTGAAGATTATATAACAGTCGGTGTCGGCGAGAACTTTCCATAATTGTAACGTTCTCGAAGGGAAACTGTTATTTTCTGGATAGTTAAGGATTGTGCTAACGATCGTTATTTTATTAATGTTGTTTATATAATATGTCATTGTTTATTTTTATGTTTTTGGTGCAATAAAGAGTTAAATAAATAAATAAAGTTTCGTAACTACATACTATATTATACTCCTACTAAAAATACATCACAGTGCTAGTGGCTAAACTTTAGAATTCTCTACTAAATAATATCAGAATGGCACTGACCGTCCATGCCGTCATAGCTTAAACAAAAGAATAAAAAACCTACACACACATATACATATATATATGTATATGTGTGTGTAGGTGTATGTATATAAATATAATAATGAGTAGGGATAATATTTATATTATTATATGTATCACATCTCCCATATTCAGAACTAACAAAATTTTTCATCGTGCCTCCCACCAAACTGTTTATAATTACTCCTCTCCATCCAAAGGTTGCCTGGAAGAGATCACTCTTAGCGATAAGGTCGCCCATTGTTTTCTCATTGTGATTATTTCTTGTAATTATTTATATTTATAATAAGTTTACTATTGTAACTTTTTGGAGGAAACAATAAAGAGTATTTATCTATCTATCTATCTATCTATAATAATAATATAACACATATATAATAATGTGTATATATATAATTTTATTTATCTATATTCTATTATTAACTATATAGGTACTTATATTATAATTCTTTGTTTATCATAATGATTTATGCACCATATATGTTGTACTTTATATACAAACCCTGTAGATACTTTTTCCTTTCGGGTTCTCAAAGTTGACTAGAAGAAATCCCTTTAAAGAATAAATCCGCCTATATACATACTAGTACCAAATTAAGTAGATGTTGTATACATACATATTTATGAGTATACAATACAAACAGACATATTTATGAATACAAATTGTTTGTATGTGCGGGAATCAAATCCGTGAACATTGGAAAATAAAATGATATGTTAGACCGTCACACCATCAAGGTATTTATTCTTGTTAAGTTAGCCTAGTTGTGAGAGGTCAGAAGTTCTTGACACTAGAGTGCGCCACTATATACTATATGAATAGTATACTACTAAATTGGTTATAGTAGTACTATCTTACCTTATCATACAGAGTAATAATATTCTCGTAATTATAAAATACTGAGACATATTTTATAGTTAATGTCTAGCTATAAAATATGTCTGTCACTGTAGTTTTAGTAATGAAGTAAGCCACGATTTATGGCATATGTGCCGGCACAGTATATTCTGTGTAGGCATGGGTGATATTAGTAGCGCTCCGATATCTGTATATTGGGTTACTGGACTAGTATCGAATTGAATTCTTCAATTCGGTATTGTATGTTCGATAATCAATAGAATAGAAATATAATACCATACCAGAGGGAGATTTGGTACAAAAGTCGATTGCTTGGGTACCTCTGTCCCTTTCGTGTTTTTTTTTATGGGTGAAAATGGTATGGTAACCCCGCCTGCGCTAACGGGATACGCTGGCGGAGCACCAGTGAAGGGTGATAGATGAGAATGAAAACAGGTCAGTTAGCCCATCATGATGAATTCATCAGGAATTAACCATGATAGTTTCCAGGGGGAACCGGGAGGAGGTCGACCTGGTTGGGTATATTGCTAGCAATGAGATTCTCAGTCTCTATTACTAACAATCCCTTTCCCCCCGCACTAGGAGGTTAGGAATGTTGTTATCTAAGAAGAACCCGTAACAAACTCAACAGCTACTCTTTTCAAATTATAATGTACACGATAATTTTACATTTGTATAGATACTGTATGTAATCTTTATAATCTATATCATTCTTTGAAGGTAACAATAAAGAGTTTCCATTCATTCATTCATTTTTAATACATTGTTAATTTTCTTAATTGTACAATACCTGCTTGTACAACAATTAGTCAATTACCCTAAAGTTGTCTTGAAAAGATTGCTCTCAGCAATAAGACCGCCTTATTGTCTTATACAATTGTATCGTTATATTTATTAATTGTCTTGCTTATTTCCTATATTGTATAATGCAAATAAAATATACTCATTCATTTATTCATTTTCGGTTCTATTGGATGCACGGTTTTGGCAACTTAGGTTTTGGCAACTTATTTACTAATATTATAAATGCAGAAATTAAAGTCAATTTGTTTGTCACCTTTTTACATTATAATTACTCAATTAATCGTCACGTCAAATTTGATAAACTCATAGTACTTCTATGGAGAAGGACATAGGCTACTTTTGATTCCGGTCAAAATGCAGTCGAAACGCGAAAGAAGTCACAAGGAAAAACTAGTTTCATTATAAAGACAAAATGAGCACTGATTGACTTCACAATAAGCCCCTGTCACCTATATCAATACGTGACCCAATCTATGTACTATGACCGATATTAAAATGTAGGTAAGTGGTTATTTTAAATCATCACGTAAACATTACGCAATTGCAAACAAATCGTGAAGTTGCGAACGGTAAACCATCTATTTCACTAACTATCGCAACTTCTTACCTAACAGCAATAATGAGTACTTAGGTGTATATAAAAAAAATATGCTCACGACTCATATCCTTAATGGGGTAGTTAGGGGCATACTTATGTCGACTGTTGCAGGTGTATTGAACATACTATTCGACACGCACGCAATACGCCAGTGGGGAATGGGATTGCTAGTAGTGGAATACTATAGTATAATATAGTATAATACAGCCCCATTTGCTGGAAATATGCTCAATCAGGTTGCCTTCCAAGCAGTTCCTCCTGGAAAACATTTTGGTTCATTTTTGAGAAACTCATCACGATAGTCCTTGAATTGACCTGCTTTCATCTTCACTTATCATCCTTCACTGGTCTACCGACGTACACCGATAGCGTAGACAGTGTTACCATTCCGTTTTCCACCATTAAAGAAACCTTTTCACTAAGCGTGTTAAAATCCAACTAGCAAGTGCGCGAACCTACTATCAGCACTTATTAATTTTATTTGTTTTCGATGTTTTCCGTCACCGGTAAATTATAATATTATTTAAAATACTTGCACTTTTCTAATATCTTTTTTTAAATATTTTTAATATTTATACACGTGACCAAGTTCGAAACTTCATCCTTTAGACCTATTTAGATAATACGATAGTGTGTATTATGTGTATATATAATAAAAACACTTTAATAAAAACAGTAAAACAAATACAAATATTTTAAATAATAACAATCGATATAATGAACTTCCATCAAGAAATTCCAACACAAATAGGAAATTGTATAGAGCTCGGTTTAGTTTAGGACTAGATGATATCACGGTGCATGGTAGTACTCCCACCAAATTTGTATATTTGTTATATTTAATACGTTATGTTTACTTATAAAATGTAGCCTATATTATTTCTAAAACTTATGTTCATTTTTTATCCACATATGTTGCAGTCAAAACTCTTAACCAGTTAAAAGTACTTTTGACAAACAAACAAACTCACTTTCACATTTGTAATATTATTAGTAAGGATTACTATGTATTTTTATATAATAAATATTATAATGCATTCAGTAGTTTGTGTTACATTCATCACAAATTCTACAATACATATATTTCTCTGATAACCCTATTATTAGGATGTTGTGAACATGTTATTTTTCAGTTATTGCACTAAATATGATTAACTAGCGGACCGCTCCGACTTTGCACGGTTTTTTTAAATAAAAAGCAGCTCATGTTTTTTCGCTGATAATGTAGCTTTATAAAGGTAATTGAATTTTTAATATCCCTTACATATTTTTTTAATTCATTCATTACAAACACACAAATCAAATCTTAGCTCTCTATAACGCTAGTTTAAATTTACTTCTTATTTTAAGATCTGCCAACTAATGTTGACATACTACTATATATAACAAGTTTTATTTAAGCTTTCACGATTTTTTCTCCATATAGGTTGTCATAATTACATTCTGTATCTTATTTTCTTTGCGTCATGCATCAACGGCTGAACTGACGGACCGAATAAACAATTACTCGTTATTCTCAGAAATTATAAAACAATAAGTTCCCAGTTTCTCAGAAAGAGAAAAGTAAATATTCTCCATAAGTAACAGACACAATTTATTGTTCAATACACGAGTATCTATTTAAAAAATCTAGTCCCCACATCCAGGTCAATGCTCTCAAATTTTGACACGCTAACATTTTATTAATTTGTTTGCAGGTAAATAAACACACGCCACAAAGAAGCCAGCTGTGTAGATTATTGACCCAGTCTCGATCGCTCACCGGAAACATTATGCCATATAAAACATCTACTATCTAAAGCGGACCTGACTCGCATAGCTGGTACGGACCGTTCAATTATGCCAGGTTATTAGCACAGGGCAAGGATGGAAGAAGTGACATCGCGACCCAACGTGGAATACATCCCACCTTTACCACCCAAAATGAAACATAAGAGCTCAACATTCACGCAAATTACGAACGACGAGAAAGTAAATGGATACAGTGCTACAGATAGCCGGGCCATAGACTCTCTAAGTTCGATGCACTCGCTCGTCCTTAATTCTAAGACCCCTTCAACGGTATTCATAGCGGCGACTCAACCAGACAGACCTGCGAGTACGCTTAGCTCGGACGCCCCAACCAACGGTCCACATGTCGTCACAATCAGAATCAACACGGATACAGACAAACCGAAAGTGCCTAAAATATCGAGCGTGCATCTCAAGAGCGACATAGATTTCGATGCATTTAAACTAAACGATAGAAAAAATAACAGTCTTGTGAGAATCAACGTGGACGAGACACGGCCCAAAATACTAGAGAACGAAGAAATTAAAGATAAAGCCCCATACATATATTGCAATTCATTTGTGAATTCCATGACGAATATGGTGATGTCGAGCGGCCAGTGCTCCCCGAGTGACACACTTGATTCGGGAACGTGCAGCGATTTAGATGGAACTCCACCACCACTGCCTAAGAAGAAAAATCTTAAAACTACGAAAAAAGCCGTTTCCATAACGGTAATCGGCTCTAAAAATGGCAACAGTCAAGGTGATGTAGATTTCGAAGATAATGACTCAAATATATCGTGTGATTCTCTCAACAGCAGTGAGTTAAATGGAAGCGTGCACGCTGACGAAAGTCATAGCGAATACACAAGTAAAAAGGAAAAGAAACAGACAACAGAACCACCTGTTGCGCCCGTAATGCCGTCATTTATCGGGAAAACGAACAACAAAGACAGTAGCTTTCTACCACAAGGTCTACTTCAAGATATTAGAGACCGCTCAGCAAAACTCACTACCGTTGAAACTGAAAGTGAAGTGTGCGAGCAAGGGGAAACAAGCCAGAATATTAATGAAAATGCAAATATATCAAAAGAAAGCGTACTTACTTCGTTCCGTTTAGTTTCGCAGCTTAATAATAGTGCGCAAAAAACTGATGAAACTGAATCTATACCCGCGAACTCGTATAAACCGCCGCTGATTAGCGAGAGCACATACGAGGAGAGGAAGAACCAGGATAAGAAGAAACAAGAGAAAATATGTTACAGCAGCCATTACTTTGACGCGGACAAATTTTATGATTTCCATTTAAACGAAAAACAGTTCGATGAAAATAAATCAGTGAAAAGTGTCAGTGTGAGTGCTAAAAGTGAGTGTGACGATGGATCTGAAATGGAGTTCTTTGCTGGTATAAAGGATTACAAAAGCGAGGAAGCGCCATCAACCATAAAAAGTTCAAAGGGGACAATCCGCGGTGTTAAGAACCGCGTGAGAGCCGGCATAGCTACGTTCTTACAGATGCAGAGCACGACTAAGGTAATTTTTTTTTCTTTTTAATATCGCAACAAAATTTTCAAGTGACATCAAAGGTCAGGTTTATGATTTTGATCCTTATCAATGCTGCACCAATTTTAATAGTTCGTCTTGCAATCAACAGAGATTGCTCCCATTTTAACGTTGTCACGACTTAAACCGCTCTTGTTTTGTAGAACAAAATCTTAAAAGTATCATGTCAACCTGTGCGTTATACACGTACTGATTTTGGAGGTCGACTTTAAATGCATTCGAAAGTACAGCGATACACGTACGCTCGCGTTTATTAAAATTCTCATTTTCGACGGCCGTGACGTTGATGGGAATGTTATTGGATATTGAGCCTTCACGGCGTGTACATATAAACAATGACGAGGAACACGTACCAAGTAGAACAATTGACACAGGTTGTTTAATTTACAATTCATAATTATGAACGGACGTTTACTCCTAGTATTCTGTAAATTTAACGACATCAAAAACAATGGCAATTGTCATACTAATAAGTCATTGTAGCGCCGTTTATTGATGTAAAACGGTTTGTTTACGTAATTGTTGTACGGATTATATTTTGTGACGAAAGTTTCGACCACCTGTCATGTATTAAGACCATAACGCAGTCAGTTTTATTGCGTTATTTATAACATGAGATTATAGTGTGTTAAATAGACTTATTTACGAATGTTCTGACATTATCATTATTAATTATTTTGCCGCGGGATTCATAGTGTTGTAATTAATCGAGAATTATTAATAAGATACTCATCAGTTTTATTACTGTAATGTAATTAGAAATTGTTAAAATATACACTTTAAATGTAATGTTTAAAAAAGATGGTTGTTTTCTGCACAACTTGCTCTAATTATAATATGGGAACAATATTTAATAGTCTATAATTTTAAAGCATTAACCAGTATGTTGATATTGTATTAAAAAACAATTTCCAGGGCTTTCCGCTTTTCTAATGAGAGAATTGTCATTTCCTTTTACGACAGTCCCACGTTTGCCAGTAAGTATGTCGGAAGTATAACAATCATCCAGTTTTCTAACACAAGAAATATGAAACTCATCGCGCAGGGGAAAGTAGTTGAAAAAAATACAAGATCTCGTCAACGCCTCCGATAAGTATGTATTGTTAGAGAATTGAAAAGAAAATTGTGAAAAGTCGATAAGTCGGAACTCGGAACTATTTGAAACGTTCGATAACATTTTGTTTTCCTCGAGTCTGAGAGCTAAGGCCATCGTCACATGTTTCTGCTTAAGATGACTTCAGCTTGTCAATTACTTACAACATACGAATACTTTTTATTTCCGTTCATATAAAGTTAATATCCATTCAGTTATTTATACTTATTAAGAACTAATAAGAACCTGTTAGAAATATATGATTCTTTTCTGCCTATATTATTTCTAATTTTGGCTTCAAACTTTATAGTTTAATCGGTGGATCCTATAAACATATATGTAACTCCCTTGTATTCCACCTTTAAAGAATACAAAGCGTCGAACTAGATTTGTGAAGATATATCAAAAATAAATCATGTTACGTTTCAAAATTTTGTAATACTTATTAAGACATTAGTATGAGTTTTCTGCCAGCATTTCGAATACTTTTCATTTCCATGCATTCCATTTCATTTCAATAGCCATAACAAGTGAAAATCTAAGCTGCTATATATAGGTAAACTACTAATTATCAGTCAAGTTAGTATTCATTCATTCACGTGTATGCTCATGAGTAACAGATGAATGTGAGCATTAATAACAACCTGCCACGAACACGTCGTTCCTTGTCGAATCGAACGAGATTTATGAAGAAAACTCGATCGCTTGTAACGTATCTCGAACATTCCACTATTTTGCTTTCATATTTAAAAATGTTTTCGTGGGTATAAAAAATAATTGTAATTTAATTCCTGTTTTTAAACGACGGTATTATATTTATATTTACTAAATACTATAAAAAGTTTATTGGAATGTGACAGAATAGATTAAATAATATATATTTTTTAAACATAGCAACGAATCTATTGGCAGTGTCATATTTTTTAAAACTACCTAAAACCTTGTACCTTGTTTCTAATTTTCAGCCATCCTTAAATTAATTGCACAGAAAAAGCTAGTATAAAATGAAACCTTTAAAAATGATAAAACCGGTCAGGTATTTATTTATTGTAATAATATTAATATACAAAAAAAAAGGAAATTTTCGATTTCTCTATTATTTTTTGTATCTATGTTCGCTAATTCTAAAACCAATTTTATTAATTATTTTTTTGTAACCATTGTTATTGTTGCTTTGTGTTTTATTTTTTTGCCATACAACGATTGATATTGTTGCTTTATTTGCAAATTTTTAACTTAATAATACTTTTTTCTCTTGTCACTTATTTATTATATTTACTATAGGAGGTTCACAGTTCCCCAATTCGCTCCCAATTAATTAATTATTTTTTGCTATTCACAGGATTTATTTCGGTATTAATTTGTCTTATACTTACAATTATCGATCAATTTTATAATCGATTAAATTAAATTTCATTTTAATTATGAGTTTATTTTTTTTTATTTTTAATCAATCATTATATGTATTTTAATTGTTATTCAGTGGACATAAGCTTCAATTTGACCTTAATTAAAATTAAGCCTTCACAATCACGACTAGGTTCATTAATTAACATAACTCATAGCATTATTCTTATAGATATATTGGATTGTTTATTACTTTAATTGATTAGTTAAATCAATATTCAATGTTTATATGATATATAAATATTGATTTAAAAAGGGGAACTTAAATTATGTGGGTGGGTATGTAAAACATATAATCAAGGATACAGCTATTAAAAAATAATAATAAAATTATATCTTTTTAGAATACATTGATTATCTGTTGTCTAACAACAGATTATGAACAACAGAAACTAGATGTAAAGCATTGAAATTTTTAATAAATAATGCATAATTGCATTCTAAACTAATATTAAATTAGTTCCTAGGTAGTTATTAATTTTTCTGGAACGAATAATTTGTATGAATTCTTATTTTAATAATTCGTATTAATTATAATTCTTCCAGTTATTCATTTTTTTCTTTTTTTTTTCAAACTTATGAAGTTATACAAATAGAGCATGTTATGATGGATCCTCAGGATCGACAACGAACGAAGATACTCCTGATATTCCAAGTATGCATATACTACGATAACCGTTTACCATTAGACAGGCTGCTGGTAAACGGTATCACAGAAATACTAAGGGTACACGTTTACTACTTTTGTAATATAAAAAAATGTTTTTAATTATAATATTTATAAAGAGGAAAGATTTTATTATTTTATTTGTAATGGATAAGCTCAAATACTTATCCGATTTTAAAAATTCGCGAGTAACATATCATGGGCATTATTTTATTTAAAAAACCATCTGAACCCAGGATATATTGTTAGTTAATAAAAATCAATAAATAATACTCTATTTATCTCTTTACAACTCTCTTTCTCGTCAAGTTATTGTCTAGCTGGTAAGTTTCCTATTTATTTTTTGTTTACATTCCAGCACAATAAGTCACAGATCACTTCCCTTTGCCTTCCACATTCGAAACCTTGGTCACTACCGCACCCCACCATACTTCTTTTGCGTTTACATTCACTCATTTCGTTTATTTTCGTAAAACACTATTCACATAGCACAGCGTCCTGTGAGAGCTCGTCTGGACTGGGCAAAAATTGCTTGCGTACATTTTGAATTAACTAATTATCATATAATTCCGTGTCAAATCTAGTTCAATCTAGTTACGAAAATAACTGGATTTTACTGACAACGACGCTTCGAATTGTGATTTTTCTGTAGGAATTTATGTTCACAAAGTACTGGTAAGAAATAACAGCTGAAGATATAATGCAATTATTTACTCTTTGTAACAAATTCACCAGGGTAATTGCGTGTAGGTTAACAGAATATAATTATTGCTAAAAATGGGGCCATCACTAATTCACACACACTATTCTTCTGAATTAAATAAAGTCATTGCAATATGTGCATATTGAAAGTGGAGTACATTAATACCAGTCTCCTTGATATTATACATACATATCGCCGTGTGATCCCACCACTCTGGTGGGATGTTTAAGATGACCGACAGTGGGGAAAGAGATTGTTAGTAATGGGGTCAAATAGCCCCATTACCAGCAATGTACCCTGTCAGGTCAACCTCCACGTGGTTCCCCTGGAAACCATCGTGGCTAATTCTAGTTGAATTCGTCAGGATGGGCTGACTGACCTGCTTTCATCCTCATTAGTCATCTATCACTGGTACCCCCCCGCCCCCCCATTGTATACCGATAGCGCAGACGGGATTATCATACCATTATCACCCATTAAAAAAAACATGACCGTCAAAGAATTACTTGCACTGGAGCTGTGTGAATGGTGCTTAACTCGTAAACCTAATGGTCTAATAAACATTTATGTGAATAATTAAGATCCAAAATTATTAGCGTATATATTTAATTGCTTGTTTGGCACCTATACCTACATATATAACAGTCGACAAGAATGCGTACACGATCATTATAGAATAATCAACTCTCGAATAAATGGGCATAATTGCTTAATTAAAATCGCAGCAATTTTGTTAGTAAATTATAAAAAAGATCCGCCATCTTATATTCGTTACGTTAATTATTATTATTTTACTATGAAATGCCCGTGACTTCGCCTACAGGGATAGAAGTAATATACCTTCTCCCAAGTGTTCACATACGTTATCCTGTATGACTGAAATCAAACTCATAGAACTTTTGAAACAGTATCATTTTCATGAAACTATATATCTTCAACCGACTTCAAAAAAGGAGGATATTCTCAATTCGGTTACACATATATATTATGCCATGAAAATCATTACTATTACTAGTTCAGGAGAAGGAAAACGAGGCCGTTCTCAGTCCGTGTTTTTAAGTGTATTTGTTATTGTTGTTATGTATCATATTTGGCAATCA